ATGATAGTTTAATTGTTCTTTAAGAATAATTCAAAATGGTTCTTTTGAAATTATAATTTAATCATTCTAAAACAATAATAACACAAATTATTCTAAAAGAATGATAAAAAACATTGTTTTTTCATAATGATAATATATTGTTCTCTCAGAATGATAATGAATTGTTCCTTAAGAATGATAAAAAATCATTATAGTTTCAGAACAATGATGAATCATTTCTTAAGAATGATAAAAAATATTATTCTAAAAGAATAATAAAAATATTGTTCATTCAGAACAATAATATATCTTTCCCTAAGAACAATAAAATCATTGTTTCTTAAAAATGATAAATAATATTATTCTTTCAGAACGATGATGTATCATTTCTTAATAACAATAAAAATTATCATTTTTTCAAAATTATAATTAATTATTTCTTAAGAACAATAAAAAATTATCATTCTATTAGAATGATGATAAATTATTTCTTAAGAATGATAAAAATCATTGTTCTTTCAGAACGATGATGAATTATTTCTCAAATAATAAAAATTTATTGTTTTTTTGAAATGTTAATATATTGTTCCTTTGGAATGATTTTTATCATCTCTTTAAAACGATTATATTTTTTTTTGGAAATGATTTCTATCATCTGTTTAGGAATGAAATATCGTTCTTTTGAGACAATTTTATTGTTCCTTTTGGGATGTTTTCTATCATCTCTTTAGAAATGATTATTCATTCTTTTAGAAACAATTTTTATCATCTCTTTGAGACGATTACTTTCAGAATGTTTTTATAATTTTGCAAACATTGGCTCAACAGATTTCGACCAGTGAGATACAATCGATTTATTACCAAATTTTAAGTCTAACTAAAATTTTACTGAATATTATAACTGAAAGGTCTTGATGCCAAAATAATGCTAAATTATGTGTAATATAACAAATTACTATCGATTTTTGCTACTTAAGCCAATTTTTTTCTGAATCATATGACTGAATCAGCTAAATGTTGATGAAAGATCTAATGCTAAAATAATGATAAATTATGTGTAATATAATAAATGACTATCGATTTTTATAACTTAAGCTGAATTTTTTGCTAAATAAAATGACCAAATCGGCTAAATATTTACTAAAATGTATTAGTTCTAAGAAATGATTTCGACTAGTAATAAAGATATTTATTAAAACTATTTTTCATTATTTCTAACTAGCTTTATCAATTTCAGATTTTTATTTTTACAAAATTTTACCATTATTGTCCAAAGCATAGCGGAGAACATTTTACTTCTAGGTTATTTAAATGCAAGGTCATTCTGTTCGTCCAAATTCAGCAAGTCTGATAGATCAATGATATTTTGTTTATGTTATCACGAGTGTTACAAAATAATTAATCATGTGAAATATGATATTATAATTTATATATTATACTTCAGATTTTGAATAGATCCCGTTCCCTAGTTGTTATAAGATTTATCATCTAACTTTATTTATTAAAAAATTAGTTTTATCAAGTTTTAGCATTTTAAAAGTATAATATTTTAATATATTAAATAATATGATTGTTTAATTTGCTAAAATATTCAACATATATATTGATTTTAATTGAATTAATGGATAATTAATAAAAAATCAATATTAATAATTAATAATTAAACAGTACAGTATTTAAAATAAGTATAAAATCAGCTTAAATTAGCTTAAAATTAGTTATCAATCAATTAAAATAATCCAAAATCAAAAAAAAATGATTAAAAACCTACCAAAAAACACTTCTAATTGCTTATTTATACTCCTAAAAAAAAAATAAAAAAAGGATAATCACCAAAAATTATCTTTATTAATTTATCCTAGATTATTACTAAAAAATAAAGTAAAATAATAAAATTTCTTACAAAATATTACTTGATTTACTTACCTTATTTTCAAAATGAGAATTTCAAATAAAGTTAAAAGTTTTATTTTATAAACTGAATAATTATTGATGTTGTTATATCTGATTTGTAACTCAAATTAAAGTCACTAAAAATAAATAAATCTAAGACTAAACTCAAGGAATCACAAGTGAAGATTCACAGTATCGTCAAAGATTATTATCAATTTAAGTACAAATAACTTTTAAATATTTCATAATTACATTTCAGTAATTACACCTTAAGTCAATATAATAAATTAATATAATATTATATAAAGTTAATAAATAATAATAATTAACAAATAAGTTAAAGATTGCGAAGAATAAGTTTTTAATTAGTTAATTATACTCTTTATTAATATGATAATAAATTGTAAGTTCTTTACCTGAAAGTATCATAAGAGTCAATTTCATCCAGTGAGATATTAATCTTATTTCTTTCTTAAGTATAAATTAATTGACTGATTTATTTATTAATATTGATACTTAATGAAAATACAAAAATATTTATACATGTTGAATAATTAATAAAATAAACTAAACTAAATATATCAAAGAAAATAAAATTGACATTTTACTAGGAAATAAAGTTGACAAAATTGATCTATGAAATTGTCATGTCAATAAAGTTGTTTATTATACTGGAAATAAAATTGACATCTGGATCTATATTGATTGATTATTAAGGAAAATTAAATTGAAAATAAAATTGACATCAAGATTGTCAAAATTTTTCTAGATAAAAAAAAGTTTTAAAGATTATATTAAAGATTTTTATAATGCATATATAGCATTTAAACAAGATCAAAATAATATTAAAAGTATTATTAAAACTCATTTATAAGCAAATTATACAAGTCAATTAATTACTTAATTTTATTGAAATATTAAATAAATTTTAAATTGAAAAATGAATAATAACTTCAAATTAATTTAATAAAAATTTTAATATTATATAAGAGAAACTATAAGTAATTTACTATGGATATATAAATAAAGTTAATTCAATCTCAATGAATTTTTATTTTATTGTATTAATATAATTGGGTGATAATAAATTTAATTTATTAGTAATAGCAATCATGAAAGAAAGTTTAAATAAATATCAACAATTTCCTCTTAAGCGGAAAACCTATCATTTTTATAATTAAATTTCACAAGGACTAATTCTCCAGAGGGCCTTTTTCCACGGAACGCCGTAGGACAATGCGATCTTAACAAACTTTCCGAACTAGAACAAATATACTCTGTTCCCAATTTTAATATTGTATTTTATTAACTAATTTTTCTTGATGCGTAAGTGCGGATAAAAAATAATAAAAGTTATTACCTAAGCTTGATAAAGTAAAAGAAATAAGAAAAAGAGAATTTCTTTTAGACAATTCTAAAAATTAAAGTGTTGGTGTAAAATTATATTAAGGAGGGATTGATTTGTAAATTTTCCACGCGAAAGGGAAATTATGGAAATTATGATCAAAGGGTGGAAAAATAAAATATTTAAATGCTGCGACCAGCTTTTGAAACCGAAAAACGAATCTTGTTAATTACATGTAGTTCAAAAAGTATAATCTCTAGTCGTAATAGCGATTATTTGATCAAATTTTGAATAAAAAAATATCATTGTTAAATATAAAAAAAAAAGTATTTGCCTTGATTTCTTTTTTCAATTATTTGACTCTTTACTTTTCAGGTTCGATACTTAACGTGTATACATTATACAAAAAAAAACCGAATTACAAATTATTGGTCTAGAAAGCTTCCTTAATGATGGCTTATTTGCTGAACTTGGAAGCTCATATCATGAAGAGTCTATTTTTTTTAGGTTCCTTAGGGTGCGAAAATTTCGGAAGTAAATGGAAAGGATATTTTATTTTTTCAATTGGTTTTTATATTAATATTCTGTTTTCTTTTCATTTCGGATTCGATTGATTAAATAAATTGTTAAGCGAGTTTTCTCTCGATTGAATCGTTTTTTTTTAATATATATTTTTATATTATTTTTAGTCTTATAAGGTCTCTCCTTAGGGTTCAATTTTGTCCATCGATTTATTTTATAATATGTTTTCTCATTGGATTCGATTTTTTTTTTATTAAATATTTATAAAATTTTTTTATTAATTGCTTTTGGATCGTTTCAGAAGTACTCGATAGAAGCGATCAAATAAATAATCACCTTTAGCTTTATTGAAAAATTTTTCTTTAGGTTCTTCTTTCGGTTTAAATCGCTCTGGAAATATTATTAAGTAAAGAGAATTTCTTTTCTTTTTATTTATGAATTCTATCGCTTCCTGATGCAGCGATCGAATAATACTGTAAATTATGCCTCAAACATCAATACAAAAAAAATTCTCTGCACTTACTATGCCAATAAAATTAACCAAATTTTTTTTATTCGATTTTTGATTAATCGATGATTTAGGATGGATCAATTCCAAGATAATAATATGTACTCCTTTCTTTATTACGTTAAAGAATTTAGTCTATAAAAATGATATTAATTGTAAAATAAATTTTATAATTTATAATTATTTTCACTTTATTTTCAATAAATTAATTAAATGCACTTAACAAATAAATAGTTTATTTTTATTTGAAATGCTTATTGTCGGGAATATTTTATTTTGGAATGCAGATTAATTGATCGTGTTACAAAATTACATAAATCGAACAAATATTAAAAATATAAACGTTACGACATATAAGTAAAGTAAATTAAGTAATATGGATGGTCTTTAGAAAAATCAGGAATTCGATCTACAAATAAATGATCGACATTTAGAATATCGGAAATGATTTATATTATTAATAAGTAGTTTATGGTTTCAAACTATATTGTGGAAAATTGTATCAAAAAGTTGGAACGATAAATTGGATGAAAAGTTAATGATGTTTAATAAAATATTCAATATTTTCATACTATTAATCTTGTGCGGCGGCTATTATGTATCCAATAACGATCGATGGTTCTACGTGATACTACATTATGTTGTGCTGGTGTTGTCACATTTATACATTTATAGGTAAATAAAGTCCTCCAAACAAATTTTTTATCAAAAATGAAATGGTCTTTTTCCTGTTCCTTTTGATAAATTTAAATAATGAATAAAGTTTCTACCATATTTTTAATTATCTTTGGCCTCGTTTTCTTTACTAAAGCTGAAGAACATGTAATTAAAGTTGGTTATCCAGAAGGAAAAAATTTATACGCTCCTGACACTATAACTGCCGCAATGGGTGATACCGTATGTATAACAATCTTTGATACCTTATTTTGCTATAAATTGTTTGTCAAAATAACTTTATTCACCAAACATTTATCTTTCTAATTTCGATAATTATAGGTCAAATTCGTTTGGATTAGTGGTCAACACAGCGTCATCGAATCTAATGCAAAGGGATCTTGTAAAGCATTAGCATCTAGCGATGCTTTTTTTACTGGAGTATTCGACGCACCTAAAGAATGGACTCTTAACATTAAAGACGCATCTGGTAAAAAATGGTTCTTTTGCAGTGTTGAAGGTCATTGCGCTGCTGGTATGGTCGGTACAATTGTCATTGGCAAGTTTGCTGCGCCATCCGAAGTTTCACCTAAAACTACGCAAAACGCTCCACCCGAAACTTTGTATAAAACACCACCCGGACCTTCTCCCGGAATTCCGCCTGGACCCAAATCTGTTCCTGAATCGTCAGCAAAACCTGCACCGGTTATGGTGGGAGTAATTATTGGATCAATGCTTGGTGGTAGTTTATTAACTGCTGGAATTTTCATTTTATACAAATGGAACAAAAACAAACAAGGAAAAAGAGATACAGAAAGTCTTGCAATTACAAATAATAAATCCGATGATAATGGGAAAAATAAAGACGTTGTTAATAATGAGATACGACTTGATAATGAATCAAATAATGAAGTTATTGATAATGGGATTAGACTTCCAGATAATGAAGTGTATAATCATGGACAAGGGGCAATTCGAAACGTTGATAGTGAAATTATTCAACATTTGAAAAATGAAATGACTCAGATAATAAGGCAAGAAATAAAGAATTTAAAATAACGCAAGTATAATAATTTGGTACCTGTATTATGTGTTCGGTAATGATCTAATTATTAAATTTAATTTTTTGAATTTAATTTCTAATACTTATCATATAACAATAATTGAGAAATAAGAAAAATAAAGATAAACTTAATGGATCAAATTTTTAGCATTGTCAACACATGAATAATGAAATGACGTGTCATCATTTGGTTACATTTTTTGAAATATTTGTAAAAGGAACGAATTTTCGGTTAAATAATTAGTTATTTAATACCGATTTATTGTGATCGTCAAATTTCCTAATTCTTCGGATCGAATGATTTTTTTTATCTGAACTTCCTTTTTTTTTATTTTTTAAATCGCAGATATGCGCAGCGATCGAACTTTCCAAAAAGTAAATCTTGCGTTCTATTTAATTATTTTTTAATTATTTTATTTTATTTATTTTAGATGGGTCTTATCAATTTTTTTTTTTTTTTGGAAGAACAGTATGGAATCTTTTTTTTTATTTATTTTTAGTTTACATTTTTCTTTACTTTTTTATTCAATCGCTTCGAACCGTAACAATTTAATTTTTTTATTGTGATAATGTTAATTAGACATCTATAATTTTTTTTTAAAAAAAAAGTAGTAAATATATAACTCTTGCACTTTTGTAAGTATAATTAGTGTAATTCTAGGGTACTGATAAAGCAAAGCTTTCACCAATAAATATGGCTTATTTTGACCAGGTATTCGTAAACATTAATCTGCATGATATATTTATGAAACTAATAACACATGTTTAAGAGATTTCCTTTAATTTACTTTAAAAAATTGGTAAAAACCACACTCGTATATAAAAAATAGACTTTTATACTACAGTACAACCTATTGAATTAACGAAAATTTTCTCTGCAACTTTCGACTTGAATTTCCTTCATTTATAGTGAAAAATCAAAGTACAGTAGATTTCTATTGTTGGTATCTAACCCATGTTTTCTTTATGGCATGAGAAATTATCCTTCTCGATTTTCCATTCGAAACAGTTATGTATTACTATATTAAAACATATTGATTAAATAAATATTTAATAAAAGAAATGATTATACATAGGTATTCTAAAAACTTGTCACTCATTTTTCTTTAAAAACAAGGAAGTAAAGAAACGTTGAAATATTGGATAAAATTTACAGTAGCAAGGTGTACAGATTGAACTATTTACCTGAAATGTTATATATTAAATATGATAATATTCTAAAAATATCTTCTAATAAAAATTTCTAACTTACCAAAAAAATAAAATTAATTCTATCTTTATAAATAATAGTGGCCCATTTGGAAGTTGTTACTGATAAATAATATTTCGCTTTGGGTAATTTAACATGTTTAAAGTCTTGACAAGATCAATCATTAAAGATAATAGTATGTAAATAAGCTCTAGCCCATCCTTTAATGATAAATTACTTCTTCTTCCAATATTAAATTTTAATAAAGTTTGATTTCGCTGGTAAATTAATGTTGTATTTAAAAAAATATGTTCTTTTTTTGATTTACACTCTTATATACAATATAAATATATATTATAAAACAAAAATAAAAATTTGAAAGCTAGCATGCGATTACAATCAATATACTGATTTAGTTAGAACAGTTTTCTTATAAAAAAACAGAAAATGTTCGTCTTATACAAAATGAATGCACGCTTAGCATTTCATTTTTTAAATATAACAAAAAATTAGATGTTGATTGAATTTAATTCCATTTTTGCTTTACAAAATATATAAATTTATATTTAAAACATTTATTTAAATATCATTTATTTATAAAAAATATAAATTTAAAGTTGAAAATTTTGTATATATTTAATATTTTAATTATTAAAGATTAAAAATAATAGATTTATAATAAATTTTATAACATATTATAAGTTTTTATATAAAATTTTGCATAATAATTGATTGAAAATTATGACTGAATTTGAATGCATATCATTACTATTTAAGGGATAATCTGCCTTGAAAGTTTATCCTTTAGACTGTATAGAAGGCAAATTTGCCTGCAAAATTAAAAAAAAGTATTAATTTCTTTATAAGATGTTAAATATTGATTTTAGTAATATCATTAATATATAAAAAATATAATTTAATATATACTTTATTAACTTTATTAACAAAGATTATAAGTTTTTAAAAAGGTTTTTAAAATAATTTAATTTTGAAATTAAGTTTCTAAAAATTTCTTATAATAATTTTTTAAAAATTATATGTTTGCATACTAATTAAATCACTTTATCATTAATTAAAGTCATAAAATTTTTTAATAAATTATAAAAATTATAATAATAAAAGTATTTCTTTATAAGTAATTTAATAATATTCTATTAGATTAATATGGTTAAAATTAAATTCTAAAAAGTTTATTATAGATTAATTATAATATATAATTAAAAAATAAAAACATATAATATTTATATAATTAATTTAAAAAAAAATTTTTTAAAAATATTAATTATTTATAAAAGTAAATCAGAAAAGAATTTATAGTAAATAAGTAGGCAAATTCGCTTACAAAACCCTATAATCTAAGGGATATGATGCTTTTATTATTAAAAAAATAAGTTTTTCTTAATTTTTTAATAATATAATCTATTCTGAAAATTGAATACAAGTTTATTATTAAAAAAAAATAAGATTTTCTAATTTATTAATAGTGCAATCTACCTTAAAGGTCAATGGTAACTTTTATTATTAAAAAATAAGTTTTTCTTATAACATATAATGCCATTTTAATATAGATATAACTTTTTGTTGTTAATTTTAACAATAAGATTCATATGCGAATTAGGAAAAAATTTTTTTGATATATAGATTCAAATTTAGATTCAGATTTGTTAAATATGAATTCAGATTTTATCAGATTCAGATCAAAATCAGATTTTGTCTAAATTCAATCTTATCCAATTTGGGCAAAATACTAGTCAAGACATTATTTTTGAAATTAAAAAATGTTAATCATTAGAATGTAATATATATAAACTTATAAGATGTGATCATAAAAATTGGCTTAAGGTTTATAATTTTTTTAATCTAATTCCAATAATAGATGGTAAAAATATAAATGTGATAAATTATATAATCAGAAAATTACAAAAGAATATAGACCTTCTTTAAATGAATCTTTGATATAATATAAAGAATATGAAAATAGTATGTAATTTATTCAAAATCAAAATTATCTTTAAAAGAAAAAGAAGAGTTAATAATGTAATTCAATATATATAGTGTAAAGATGAGGGATGAAACCCAAAAAAGTAATTAATAAACAGCCAAAATGATAATAAAACATAGTAAGAGTATGACAAAACCTCAAAATCTGAAATTAATTGAAATTATAATAAAAATATAGTAAGAGGTATGACGAAATTATTTTGAGGGAGTTTTAGCAAGCATCTTTAATGTAGTGATACTTTTTAATTTAGCTAATTCTACAAATATACAGGATTCTAATAGTAAAAATAATTCTATGAAAAATTTATTCTTTATTCTTATTATTGATAATATTTTAACATTCAAGCAATAGTTTTATTGAAATTCTATATTATTCAAGTTAATTTTTTAAAGAAATACCTTATTTTAATATATAGAGGGCCGCCAAAAGTCTCTGAACACTTTTTGGCTCATTAAAAAACTTAAAATTTTATAATATGAATAAAAAAAGTTTATTAATATTTTTATTAAAATAAGATATTCGCTAAGTTTTGTACTAAGTAACTAATACTTAGTTGGGCCACTCTTTGCTTTAATCACAACTTGAATTTGCTATGACATACTATTGACTAAATTTTCGATAGTTTGTATCGGAATTTTTCTCCATGTCTTATTAACATGTCGTTCGAATTCAGCAATATTGGAAGGCATATTTTTCCTTACACAAATGCTTTTCTTAACATCTGCCCACAGGTTTTCAATCGGATTGAGGTCTAGATTTTGAGCTGGCCAAGAAAGTTTACGCAAGCCATTTTCTGTGTGAAATTTTTTCGCAACTTTCGATGTGTGTGAACAAGCGTTATCCTCCTGGAATCAACCATCACCATTTGGAAATACACGCCTCATAGTTCGCATGACAAACCTTTGAAGAATAGTAACATATGACCGGTTGCTGTTCCAAATAATGGAACAATAGGTCCTATACTTTATCTCGAAAAGCATTTTCAAAACATTCGACTTGGGCTATGCTTTACTGTTGTAGAAACACAAGAAATGTTGTATTCTTCACTAGGCTCTCGCCAAACTCTACTGCACTGAGATTGTTGAAATTGAGAAAAGGTCGACTCGTCACTCCACAGAACTTTCGACCAATCGTCCTTTGTTCAACTTTGATGTTCTAAGCATCATGCAAGACGTGCCTCCATATTTACTGATAAGATTAGAGGCTTGCGTCGAGTAATACGATTATTTAATCCAATAACACGAAGTGCACAGCCAATAGTGCGAGATGAAATAACTTGGCCAGTCTTTTTATTCCAGAATTGTTAAATTTCTGGAGTACATAAGCGACGGTTCTTTCTATTATTATTGGTTACAAATTTCTTAAGCCGGTTTTGTTGTAAAGGTTCAAGAAGGGATGGTCGACCGGAGCGAGGCCTCGAATTAGTTGTTCTGGTGTCATCCATTCTTTTCAAAGTGTCAAATACTATTGACACACCACATCCGACTGTCGTGGCAATAGTTCAGTAACTATCACCGCGTCGACGGCAAAAAAATATAGCGCCGCGTTGTTCTGCAGTTAATTCTTTAGACATTATTTAGGTATTTTTGGGATTAAAGTTTATTTTGATTCAAAATCAAAATAAACAAACTGGACACGCATTTATTAGGTTTGATTCATGTAAACAAGGTCCGAAACATCATATGACCGCAGTATTATTAAGTCACATGATGTTAACGGCATGAAATTACACCTAAAAATGGTGTTTCTCTAGTAACTAAGTAACCAGTAATTCATCAGTTAAAGGAAATTGCAATTATCGCAATGATGGGGCTGAAGGCAACACCTAACTACCCACAGTACCTGACTGGGATGCCATAAATGTGTAAAAACTAAAACCACATACTTTCCTCCATATTAAGTATTTTTGCAGTTGTGGTGAACCTCTTTTTCCATGCAACATCTAAACTTTTAAAATCGTTTACTTCTGGAGGGGAACGAGCTACTAAATCAGTATTTTTCCCTTACAAATTCTGAACGGAATCACATTTCGAGGCCAGTTCAAAGTACTTTTTAATATCTAAAAAATAGTATTAATAAGCAAATATGGAAAGTCGCTATTTTTGTTTTAAAAAAAATATCTACCTTCGAAAGCATATGGACAGGAACATTCGGTATCTGTATTTTCTAGCATGTTTTCTCGTTGGTTCTCTTAATCTCTTTATACGCGTTTGATGAGATTAGTAATGAGATGAGCAAGCATAGCGGACTTTCTATTTTATCACATGAATTTTGCCGATCATTTTTCGATTTTATCACATGAAACAAATCCGATACCTTAAGAATTTTTTTAAAATCATATGGGGTCTTTGCAATAGAAAGGGGGGAAACTGCCGGAAAAAATCAATTTTACTTTATATGTCAAATATGATTTTTAGGCTGAAATATGTTCAAATTTAGCATTAACTCATTTTTAATTTTCCCATATGATCGTAATATAAATTTTTTAAATTTGGTTTTTATCGCCGCAGAAAATCATCGAAACTTACAAAGCGAGTTACATTACACGATTAATTAGTGATACAGTCGGACCTGTCTATAATCACCCAAAAACCTTTTTTATAATCACGTTTATATTAAAATCGATTAATAAAAAAAATACCTCTATATTATCACAATATTGTTAAATCTTTTTATAAGAAAAAAAAGTCTGACTGTATCGCGAATTATAAAAAAAAAAAAACCGCGTCCTGTATTTTTGCTTTGTAATTTAAATAAATACTTCGACTTTTACAGTTGTTGCTCGATAAATAAAGAATTATTTCACCTCTACATTAATTTTTATTTTCCAAAAAATTACTATTACGGTTCAAAATTCTCTAAAAAATGGCAATATTAGAAATTATTAAAAAACTTATTTTACGACCTGATAAATTTACAACAACTCACGCAGAGACTGCTTTAACAGAAATTATGCAAAATAATGCTACTTCGGCTCAAATAGCTGCGTTTTTAGTAGCACTTAAATTAAATGGTAAAGATTCTGATCCTGCTATTGTAGCTGCATGTTCAAAAGCCATGTTAAAATTTACAAATTTGGATCTATCTGTGTATGATGGTTTGCAAGATTCTCTTATTGATATTGTTGGAACTGGTGGTGATGGTATGGATACGTTTAATGTTTCAACTACCGCATCAATAGTTATAGCTGGTGCTGGTTGTAAAGTTGTAAAGGTATTTTCGTTTATCCTTTTCTTTTTTTTTTTTTTTTTCTTTCATTCTATTAAAAAGAAATTTTTTTTCCTTCAAAGTTTGGTAATAAAGCTGCCAGTTCAAAAAGTGGTTCAGCTGATATTTTAGAAAAAGTTGGCTGTGAAATTACAAAAGTTACATCAAAAAATGCATATCATGTCATTAAATCAACAGATTTTTGTTTTTTATTCGCTCAAAATTTTTATTCTGCGTTAAGTTATGCAGCTTCTACTCGTCGTGAAATTGGCGTCCCAACTATACTAAATTTATTAGGACCTATTTCTAATCCTGCTAAACCAAAAAGGGTTGTTATTGGTGTACATTCAAAATATCTTGGTAAATTAGTTATTGAAGCGTTAAAATTAAAGGGTGTTATAGAAGCTATGGTTGTTAATGGTGCTATTGGTTTGGATGAGGTAAGTAAAATATTTAAATTTACTTTAAAGAAAAAAATTTTTTAAAGTTGATCTAAGGTTTACCCATGTAGATAAGTCCTGAAGGGGAAACTTTTGTTTGGCATCTATCTCAATCTAATATTCGAGAATATACAATTTCACCCGTTGATTTTGATCTTCCATCACATCCAATAAGCACTGTCAAAGGTGGAACTCCTCAAGAAAATGCTGATCTATTAATTAAGTTACTTTCAAATGAATATGAAGGCCCAATTTTAGATTTTGTACTTTTAAATGCTTCTGCTGCATTAGTGGTTTCTGGTTTAGCAAAAGATTTTAAACATGGTGTTGTATTAGCTCGTAAAAGTATAAGTAGTGGAAAGGCCAAAGAAGCTCTAGAAAATTTCAGGGATCTCATTAAAAATTTACACGACTAAATAATGATACATGTTCACGTGATCTACATATATTTGTACCTACAAAAGGAGTTACTTGTAAAAATACACACAAATATATATATACAGTATATATATTTCATTACTTAATCATTAATACAATATCTAAAATTTAAACTTTTATTTATATTAGAAAACAAGAATACATAATGCTATCAAGTAAATTAAATAAAATTTCTATAAGTATTATAAAATAATAAATTAATTAAAATTATTAATATATTCGATACAATAGGAAAAAGAAACTTAATGTGGGATCCCTGTAATATTAGTATAAATAATTTGAATTAATAATCAAAAAAAAAAAAATTTATATATATTATTTTTATGTATTTAACTAAATTATTTACTTACCATTGGTTGCTTTCTGGAAGCTATCATACCAAACTGTTCTTTTATTCTCAAATGATTGATTAATTTTTTCAATCATAAAACTAGCTGCTCGACGCTCAGTCCTTTCTAATTGGAATCGATCGCGTAACCTTCTCAAAGTATCACCTTTAAAACATGGTAGTCCAGAACCAAGCATTAATGCCACACATTGGACGATTTGTTCAGCATAGGGCCTAATCAAAAGATTCTAAAATTATCATGATTTTTATAGATAAAATTGAAGATATATATATATTAAAGAAAATTTACCTTGAAGCCAAATAAGCTTTAATACATAATTCCGAAAACCATTTAAATTGTTGTACATCGGATCTTCCACCCATCACTTGAATCATTTCAGTAGTAAGTTTAAATGGTGAACTTTCAAAAGTAATTCCACCGGGAGCGATGTCAAGTATAAACCCGAAATCTATTTACAGTACATAATAAATCAGAACTTTCTTACTGATCAAATAAAATTTTGATTCGAGACTTACCAATATGAATAATATGCCCCTCGTCATCCAACATAATATTACCATTATGACGATCTTTAATTTGTAATAGATAAGACACAACTGAATATGCAGCAACACTTTGTATGAAACAATTTCTTGCCTAATAATAATGAAAAAATATTATCTGTGTAAATAAACTTCATAAATTATTGTTTGAAAATGAACATAGTTTTCCTACTAACTTTTTGAAAAGCAATAGAGTCCACTCCTCCATATTTTGTAACAAAATAGCTTGAATTAAAGAAGAAATATTAACTTTTTTTTTAAAAAAAAAAAAATAAAATAAAATAAAATGGGAAAAGAAAAAAAATCTCTTTGTTTTTTGTCAACTACTTACTCGTATAAACTGTTCACTTTCTCGCGTCCCATTTGATCACGTGACATTGATTTTGGAATTACATCGATTACTCCACACTACATTAAAATCGAATTTAACAAAGAAATAAAGCAAAAAATATTCAGGAAAATAATAATCTTACCCCGGGAGCTGTTGCAACAATCCTATAAGGGAAAAGATATAAATCCAATCCTATACTAGTGAATATATTCTTAAAAATTGCAATTAATTGCAAAGCAAGAACATCTTGTCGACAATCATCACCAACTTTAAAGATGGCTGATTGCCATACATCGATAGTCTTAGGCTCATCATCATCATCGTCTCCATCAATATAACCGGAATGAATTAATTTTTCCTTAATCTCTTCGGAATCTTGAAGAGTTTTCTGAATTTTAAATGTAGCCATGAAAGGTGCCTAACATCATTCGATAAAATTATGATTCTAAATTCTAAATATTTAACAATAATTATAAAGAAATTATGTATCCTATATTTACCTTTGCGTGGCTTTGTAAGGGTCTTCCTGACTTGTAATCTATATCAATTACTATGCCTTCTGGATTACTTGGTAAATAAACACCTACATCCACATTAATTTTTGCCATTTCCTCATCAATCTTTTGCTGTTGCAAAGAAAAATTTAAATATAATTTAAAAAATCTTTTTAGTTTGACATGAAAATGAAAAACGTCAAACCTTTTTTTCAGACTTTGTCTTTTTGATATAAGGCTTTAATTTTCCAGATATCGAAGTAACATTTTCAAAAAAAGTGAATTCCCTTTCATAAAATGCTTTATCTTCACCGGATAGGGCTTCGACAATATTATTAATTATACGATCAAGTGTTGGTTTCAATGAATCAGCCTGCAACATTTAACGTTAGTAAATGATATAAGTATAATATAAATAAAAGTAATTTTAAATCAAAAGACTTACTATAGTGCTTTCATCATCTTTAAACATGTTCGCCTTCATGTTCCATATAATCTGATGTGCAAATAATTGAGAAATTTTAGCGGCACTCATTATGAACCTTTCCACATATCCTAGTTACGAAAAAAGATAAGTAATTTCCATTAGATCTTGCAAGAAAGTTTAGAATAAGTATCGATTATTGTGTCGATTGCACTTACCCAAAGAGTCGTATCGTAATGCTTGTACAATTTGTGGAATATAGAAGAATACAATATCAACATCATGATATTCTAAAGCACGCATCGCATATTGAAGAATTAAGGGGTTATTGTCATATGTGGATGAAAAGTAAATGACCGCAGTTATTGGAGGCACCGGTGCCCAATATAATAAGTACTGATGAGTAAAGTTCAATTAGTAAAATAAAAAAATATAAAAAATATTCATTTCACTAATAGTTTAAATTAAACATCTCATTAACCTTGAGTTGTGAAAGAACATTCTGATTTAATTTATCACCAAGCAATAACGGTAAAGCTTCAGCAACACGCACAGCCTCATTAGCATTATTTGCTAATACTCTATTAAGCTCATTTTGAACAAATGTATTTTTGAACCTGGATGACATTTGAACTGCCAGTTGAGGAGAAATTGACCAAGCATGCCTAACACTACTTTTCCAACCATCCTTCAATATGAAATTTTATTAGCATTATCTGATTAAATAAATAATTAATATTTTAGAATAGTTACCTCGGTTAAACGACTTTCTATTACAGGAACAAAATTATCCTTAATTAAATCTGGCGCATTTAAGGGGTTGCTCCAAGTTGCCAGATTACTTATCTCACTTTCGAGAAATAATAACAATAATTTTTTGGATTTTGTAGTTTTATTTATTATTTCTTCTCGGTTTTTATCTAAAATGAAACAAGGTAACGATATATAATAAAAACTTAATGAAATTGTTCGAAAGATGAATAAATTGACGTACCTATCATTGCAATTGTAGTAGTATTTGACAAAGAAAACTGAGAATACTTTTTAGGTGTAGTGGATAAAACTTCAGCCAGTTCAACCTTATCATTTTCAACCAACTTATAAACTTCAATTAAAAGTTTATATTCGGTAATCATTGCTCTTTTGTTGCCACCATAAGCCCATCTAAATAATTATAAAGATCATAATGGATGAAAAATTATTAGTTAATTTTTATTTTTATTTTTTTTTAACGAGGGAGAATAAATTTATAAGAATTACTTTGGGGGTAAGGAAAACCAAGAAAAAGCCGAATCAAAAATTTTGGTTCGGAATTTATGTTCGATCGAGGCTTCCATACGATTTGATTGTAAAATTTTAAGTGCACATATAAGAATTTGCAGTCTACCTTCCCGTGATAAAGAATGATTACTGAATAATATAATTTGAATATATGATTAATCATGAATAGGTTATAAACTCGATTGATTAAAAAAAAATTCAACCTTATAAACTCGGAAGCATCAAGAGTTATTTGAAAAAACCTCAAATAAAGTTGAACTAATTGGGAACATCTATATCTAAAGGCTTGATACCGTCCAGATATAAATTGCAACCAAATCAAATGGGGACCAAATAAAAATTTGGCCAATTTGTAATTCTTATCTCGCGTAGCTTTATCTGAAGGTGCATACTGCATTTTATTCACAAAAGGATCCTTTATACTTTATTTTATAAAAAGTATATTCAAAATTAATATGATAATTTTTATTGTTTAGATTATTTAACCTTAAACACATACTTGAGTGCAGTAGAGAATAATCCTTTTCGTTGTCGTACGCTCCAAACCCATCCATTTGCAATTTCTGTCATAATCCTTTTTTCAACCGTAGGCCTTTCATTTATTATCCAAGTCCATATGGACGTAGCGATCTTTAATGATTCAGGAGTAAACATATAAATGGGAATCCATACAACATAATGAAGGATCTCTTCATCTGGCTACAAAATATAAAGAAAATTAATAAAATATTTGGTAGAAAGTCACAATTAAAATAAAATAACGGCATTTTGAACTAAAGGATATTATTAATATTACCTTTGGTGAAGATATCAAAATCCCTGCTGCTAAATATAATGTATTATTTAACTCATTCATGGAAACCTGAGGTACTTCACGAACTCTCTTTTCTAATAGAGCTAAAGACGCTTTTACTTCTTGATTCTGATCAGAAAATTTTCCCAATGAAAGTAGTTGTTTTTCACCTAAACGTTAGGTCATATGTTAATATTCATTAAAATCTGTAATAGATACGTTGATATCCAGTAAATTGTAAAAAAAACCTTCGATATTAAGAGAAGCTAGCAAATTATTCGTTCCAGTAACTTGTCCATAAAAATGTCGTCTAGCAGAATAATCTTTAATGAATTCTGACATATTATCAACAGCTGTGTTGGGTACTCGGGGAAATATTACTTTAATGAAAAGAAATTTCAATATAAGTAAATATTCTTAATAAAATAGGATAACTAACAGCATACCTGAATTAGAATCAGCATTAGAAAAGGATTTCCCTATCTCAATTGCGATAGACCGTCCCATATGAGCAGAATGGTCAGACAAATCAGGATCAAATTCTGCCAGGTAATTCTACAATTTAATCATTACTCAGAAACTTTGTTTTTATAAAATATAAAGTTATGAAGGCTATCAATCATTGGTACCTCTAATAATCCTCGAATCTCTGAAGGCACACGTGTCATTACAGCTGTTAACCACTTTTTAGAATTTTCACATAACCTTGATAAAATTTCTCTTCGATAATTATAATCATCGGGAAGGTCAAGTGATACTCCAACTTTGGACGAAACAAACGTATATGTTGGCGAATACTTTATACATAGATATAAACAAAAAGGATTAAATGGTTATACAGTGATTTCAAATTTATATCATTTAATTGTACCTCGTTTAAATATTCGGCTTCACAACTTTGCCATAATAATTCGATCAACTCCAACAACAAAAATAATAATTTTTTATCGCAAAGCAAGGAAGGAAACGCGGTCATCAAATTATCGAGATATTTTATAGACAATTGACTAACTTTGCTAAGGCGATGACAAGTGGCAATCATAAGATTGCGAACTTGATTTCTGAGGTTTTCATTTATAATATGTGCGATGGCCCTGTTAGAGCATTCCCTGATGAAAACCTCAATCACCTTATAATAATAAAAAAAATTAAAAAATTATTTTTATGAGCGATAAACTTTATAAACCAAATTAAATTACTGTTAAACTGACCTGATTGCCAATTTCTTCCATACATCCAACTAGTTTACTAGCACTTATACCTTGATTAACAAAATATCTCAAGATGAAAGAGCATTGACCCATTTGACTTCTCATTATTTCAATGTGATATACGGAGAGCAAAAACGTTATTTCCGCAAAAGAAAAATATTTTATTTCATAAGCACGATTGGGTAAGAAAGAAGACAGTGAAGATCTAACCATAGCAAGATCCTAAATAGTATGCAAAGGACATTTTAGTATTATGAACTAATAAACAACGTATCAAATATCACCGAATGGAATAAAATTGAAAATATCTAACCTGGTCGGAATTACCTTTACGCAATACAGATTTAAATTCTAAATCACTCTCAAGGTAATTTATTGTTTCCTGAACAAGTGGTGGTGTTTTTTGAGCTATTACCACTAATGACTCTCTCCACTCAGGTATCCAAGTTTCTTCCGATACAAATCCATACTGTATGCAATGAAACCAAAGGTCTCGAAAAAGCGGAACGAGTTCTTCAGAAGAATTCATATGATCTGTAAAATCATCATGAGATAATAGAGTTTTAAGAACAGGAAGCAAAATCCCAACTTCACCAGCGAGTGAAGTAACCTAAAATTTGCAATAAAATAAATATGAGCTTAATAATAAATAATGTGGAATCCCTTTAAATATATGTTTTACCTGAAAATTTCCATTCTTTTCAACAGTTTGTTGAATTGCAACTCCCTTCTCCACAAATAACGACAAAATCCTTAGTAAATAAAGACCATAAAATTCCGGACGAGAATTAAGCCTACTTGCCAAATCTAATTGACATTTAAGAACCTTTAAATCATTTTTTTAACAAATGACTTTAATTATTTAACCAAAAATTACCTCAATAGTAAATGAATAAAAAAAAAAACTATATGAAATCTTACAGCGGTAGTAACAATTTTGTTTTCTGGAGATAGAGACTGACGACTAATATCGGAAAACTTGTGAACGATTTCAGAAAAAACCTTTTCTGATGAAATCAATGCAATATCAACAAATTTTTCAAGGATGAGTGTGTCCAATGCTGGTGTATGATTACGAAGACGTTGACTGAGCATATAAACAATTAATTCGGTAATCTAAAAAACAACGTAATATAGAACAAATTTATATTAAAGAATTTTGAAAGAGGTAAATATATCATGAAAATTATAAAAAAGTACATTATCATCTTTCAAAATGCAGACAACTCCAGTAACCGTACAAACTATATTTTCATACATCTGTTGACGTTGTTCTTCATTACGCGATATGCCACTGACTGAACTATGAATTGACATTTGATCCGGAGCTAAGGTGGAATTTGTAGTAAGAGAAGATTGAGAACGGTCATGTCTATCAGAAGGAAGAATTGCAAGTAGTTTATAGATAACTGATTTAGATGTTTCATGATTCACCGCCTACAGATACATTAAAAGTTGGTAAGCTCGAGATATTGATAGAAGCGTATCGTATTAAATTAAATAATAAGCAAATTTAACCTTCAGACAATAAGCAAGACGAATTATTGCATAATCTAGTATCGAGATATTCTTTTCAACTGTAACAGCCAATTCAAAAATTGTTGATGGTGTAATCAAAAATTTGCGAAAAGTCTGGATCATATTTAAAGTGGCCCTAGAAAAACTACAAATCAAAGAAATAAATAAATACATTTATATATTTTTATGAGAAGGGAAATTTTTTTTCCTAATTTACAGACTTTAAAGCAAGGAGAGTAATTGCATCAAGTGCAGACGTTTGAACTTTAACGTCTGGTGTTTGTGGAACAGTAAATAAGGACGCAGCCAACTTATTGATTAGTTCATCATCAACCTCGTGTAGATAAACACTTGCAATAGCTGCAAGATCCTACAAATTTTTGAGATGATTCGGTTAGAAAATATAAAATACGAGTAATAAATATATTATACAAAAATATATTAAATTATACCAGGCTAGCAGCCATTATTTCTCGGACATATAGAGAAGATGGATAGTCATTGCCTTGTGCAACAAGATTATCCAATAGCTTTGTCAATTCAGCAAAGTATTGCAAAGACATGATATAGGTCTTTCGCAGAGTTTTCCTAACATAATCCGTCACAGGTATTGGAATAATTGCCTTACTCTTTAATAAGATATCCCAAATTTCTTTAAAGGTCATTAAAGTAAACCTATCTTGGTCATTATTACTAGCGATAATTGCACGCGCTAACATATTTCTCATCATTATAGTTATGCCAAAAATGATTCCATTACTTGACAAAGGCGAGCACCTATATTGATATCTCAATAAAAATTTTTTAGCATAGTAATATTGCGGTTCTGAAGATTGCAACGCCGTCTCAATAATTTGTCCGACTTCTTGTAAGCAATCGTTGTTTACAAGAGGTTGTGTTTGATGAGCCACGAATTCAAAATCATTATAATGCCATGGGATATGTGAAGACTGAAGAGCACGAAAAAAACCATTTAACAGGGGAAGAATTACGGTGCAAACGTATTCAACTATCTCGACAAATTAATTAACAAACAAAACGGTAAAATTAGATGAAGAAACAATTAATTATTTATTTATTTAAATTCGAATAAAAAGAACATACCATTGCCACATCTCAACTTTTTTTCCAGGTTTCCAAGAAGCGCACAAATATCTTTAAAAATTATGTCTCGTTTTTGACCAAATTTAGTTGCAATTTTAAGTAATTTCGATATAAGTTCTCCTGAAAGCTGATCCGGTAATGAAAATTCTAATGTAATGTTGATTTGAACGATTCCGAATATAATATGTGGTTTAATCATAATGATAAAGGTAGAAAAGATAACATATATATAAATATATATATTCACCCTTCCATGTAAGATCCGGTTCAAAAGAAAATATTGGAAAGTATCTTAAATAATTTAAAAGGATTGGAAGAAATTCGTCAACATAGGTTTCACTCTTTGTGTTTGCTGTAAGTGAAGCTAGAGCCGATATATTTTGTTTTAAAGTTTTCGTCTAAATGTAAACCATTAATTTAATCAATGCAATGGGGTTGGAAATAAAATTCAATTATCTAAACCTTCATATTTTTGGCTTCCGAGTACATACCATTAAAATGATTTTATGATTTCCTTCATCGCTTCTATTATCATCCTTTGGTAATTCTGGACATCTTTTTATTAAACGTGATACTTCTTCGTTTGTAGTGTCTGGGTCAATACCTAATATATCAGCCAGCTGTTCCACTATCAAGCCATGAAGGTCAAATTCAAGACTATATGAATTAAAAATACATAAGAAATCATCTCTCGAAAATCCAGTCCTTGCTTCATTTAAATAACTTAATTTATACCTATCCATTATTTAAGCTCTGGTATGATTGTGAATTTACGAGTATAAAGGAAGGGAAACTGGTAAAAGGTAAAAATAAATTAAATCTAATCGGACAATTAAGTGCAATATTCAGATCAAAGTTAGTTTTCATTTCACACCTCAGGGTAAAATTAAGCGCGTTATTATAGATTGATGATTGATCGGACTCATTGCTGCTGCAATCAATTTCTGCAACATAAAAATCTTCCCACTTTTATCAAGGATCAACATGATGCATCTTTTTGTAAGGTCTCTTGTAGCGCAGTAATTTCAGAAATAATTATGAAAGGGAAAATGTTTCTTCATTTGTTAATATCTTTGGAATTTGTTTTTTGAATATTATATATAATTCTAAAATAATAAATTCTGCACGTTTCCGAACCGCAACAGAAACTTGCAGTTTGTAGACAAAACTTGAAAAGCCCGATGCAATCAGGAAAGTAGAATTAATTCCCTATAATTCCGGCTACTATACTCGTGTGGAACTGATTCTGGAAGGGTTGATTATGCCCCTTTCTCGTGAGAATAGTGCCTTTTTGGGGTATACATTTTCTAACTATTACAGTATTACGTTACGAAAATATTAATTATTGTTGGGATTTAGAAGAGCAAAGCTTACTGTGGTTATATCTTTCCTGATAATATTGGATAGGTAAGTGAATGCCAAAAATCAATGTTCAATAATATTCTTCAAAATCTATTTTAAAAAACACTTTTTGAATTTAAACTAGATTGAACTTAGAATTTAAGCAAGCACCAAAATGACATGGAATTAACACAAACATTTTTAATTTTGATAAATATAGTAATTTAGCAAATAGAGTAGGTCATCAGCAGCATGGTTGATCTAAAACTAGTTGTGATGTGGATTGTAAGGCGTTCATCGATCAAGCACTAAAGGTTTTTTCTTAAAAAATATTATCCTCGGTGTTTCATGAAAATTATAACTCTTTGTCTTCTTTACAATTAGTGGACTTTATTTTTTGCCGTGGTTACTCCATTTCTTTTCGCAAAGCAAAAAATATATTTGCAGAAAATTCAACTAATAAAAAACCTACCAAGTTCACATTCTCGTTGTAAATCTTATACATATACTTCTCCGCGTTCAAGTTGCCTCATTCTTTTGGCACGTTAGTCCATCGGCTTTTTAAATTAATATATCTCTTTAAAAAGGAAGTAGAAAAGTACAATGGGCGCTTGCTTATCTTGTCTTTTTGGAAGTATGTTGAAATCTAGTTATAAAAAAATACCCGAAATTATATTTTGCTGAATTTGATTTCAAAATTTTTTATAGAGAAAACGAAGAGCCTATACGAACCACTGTTGCAAGAAAATGAACGTGAAGCAGTTGCAGATTTATTAACGTATCTTGAGAGTGAGTTAGCTAAACCTTCATTACTTAATGCTTAACTATTTATATAATTCAATAATTTGGTACATTCTTAGATCGTGCCGAAACTAACTTTTTTGAGGGAGACCCATTACGTGCTCTTTCCACATTGGCCTTTTCGGATAATGTGGACTTACAACGGTCAGCGGCTTTAGCCTTTGCGGAAATAACTGAAAAAGGTTTTCTTGGAATTGAAAATATTTTCTCATTAATAAATATTAATTATTATTCGATGTTCTAATTTGGTTTAATTCGGGTTTTTTTTCCTCTGATCGTCCCAAGAAGATGTTAGGGAAGTGGACCGTGAAACTATGGAACCCATTATGTTCCTTCTTCAATCTCATGACGTAGAAGTTCAAAGAGCGGCCTCTGCTGCATTAGGAAATTTGGCTGTTAATAGTAAATATTTTTTTGATATTTGATCCTACAAATATATTTAAATTTCTAAATATCAACTTGTTGATTTCAAGCTGAAAACAAGTTGTTGATTGTACAAATGGGAGGTTTGGAACCATTGATTCGACAAATGTTATCACCAAATGTTGAAGTACAATGTAACGCGGTTGGATGCATTACTAATTTGGCTACACATGGTAATTTATATAATTAATTTGAAAATAAGTTATTTTATTTATATGTTATGTATCTAATTAAGTATTACCCAAACCAGATGAAAACAAATCAAAAATTGCGAAATCTGGTGCTTTGGTACCGCTTACACGATTAGCTCGTTCTAAAGACATGCGGGTTCAAAGAAACGCAACTGGCGCTTTATTGAATATGACACATTCTGGTATATAATGATTATAATGATTGAGAGTTTCTCATGTAAATAATGGTTAATTAGATTATTTATGGCAAGTCTAAACTGTTTCGAATTCTAGATGAGAACAGACAACAACTTGTAAATGCTGGCGCTATACCAGTATTAGTTAGCCTTCTAAATTCACCCGATACTGATGTTCAATATTATTGTACAACTGCACTTAGCAATATCGCTGTTGATGGTATGTACTTCAAAAAAATTTTTTTTTATTCTCTGTTATTATTAATTTTAAAAATCAAATACAATTCTTTATAGCTTTAAACCGAAGAAAGCTTGCCTCATCAGAAACACGTTTGGTACAATCTTTGATTGGTTTAATGGATTCCACTTCACTGAAAGTGCAATGCCAGGCAGCTTTAGCATTGAGAAATTTGGCTTCAGATGGTCAGATTATATTATTTTATATGAATTGTTTTTACATTTTTCAATTCTTGGGTAACGTTTATATTTTAATTTTATAGAAAAATATCAGCTCGAGATAGTTCGTTCTCGAGGGTTACCACCTCTTTTAAGATTACTTCAATCATCTTTCCTTCCTTTAATCCTCTCGTCGGTAGCATGTATCCGTAACATTTCTATCCATCCACTTAATGAATCTCCAATAATCGATGCGGGTTTCTTGTCACCTCTAATTCAGCTTTTGGCTTACGAAGAAAACGAAGAAATTCAATGTCATGCCATTAGCACATTGAGAAATCTTGCAGCCAGCTCAGAAAGAAATAAACGTGCGATTGTAGATGCTGGGGCTGTGGAACGAGTGCGAGAATTGGTGTTAAATGTGCCATTAAGTGTACAAAGCGAAATGACTGCATGTGTAGCTGTTTTAGCATTAAGTGGTAAGTCAACTTTTTGTGTTTTTTTTTTTTTATTATTTAACTATATACATTATTTATTCGATATATTTGTTTATTTTTTTTTAAATTTTTTTTGTAGATGAATTAAAACCAAGGTTATTAAAATTGGGTATATGTCAAGTATTGCTTCCCCTGACAAATTCTTCAAGCGTTGAGGTGCAAGGAAACAGTGCCGCTGCTTTAGGAAATTTGTCATCAAAAGGTAATTGAATCTTAAATTATAAATCGTTTAATCTCAACATATTTCAACTGATAATATCCTAAACCTTTAATTTAGTTCAAGATTATTCGCCATTCGTCAAAGTTTGGGAACAGCCAGCAGGTGGACTTCATGGTTACTTGCAGCGTTTCTTATTAAGTACAGATAAAACATTTAAACACATTGCGGTGTGGACTATTGTCCAATTTTTAGAAGGAAGAGGTACAGAATTTTCGTGAATAATCGAGATATATATTTTATACGTAATTTTATAGACATTGACTAAATTGATTTTAATTTTATATTAGATCCAAAATTGTTTGCAAACATTTCTTCTTCAGATACAATCGTGTCTGCAATAAATAGCTTGGCTGAATTTGGAGTAACATCTGATGGTGAAGAACCTGATGACGATGATGACTCGGATGAAATCGTTGCCTTAGCTCGTAAAACATTGTCATTATTACAATGATGAATCACTATACGAATGTTAGAATGTTAATTCAGAATTTTAAATGGGTATTTTTATATGTAATCATGTAGGATGAGAGGAGAGAATTCGGAGATATAATCACTTTATAATATATATTTCAGAAGTATTTATGACATTTTTTTTTGTATTGAGACAATAATACTTTAACATCATATTTATAACATTCGATGTTTTTATAGTAAATCCTGAATATTGACAGGAAATGACATTGTTTGGTTTTTTTTTTTCTTTTTTTTTTTTTGGCATAATTCATTAGTTGTATTTATTATTATCAGGTTTGATGAGAGAATCATGATTTTAGTATCAGTTTCTGTAATAATTTAATAAAGAAATCCTTTCACATACTTACCGGTCCGAGAATAATGAATTTATAATTATTTATATTTAAATTATATGGGATTATGGTGATTTTATGCTAAAGATATATTCTGTAAGAGTAGAGAGAAAGTATATTGTAATTGATTTTGCTAAGCGAAAGTTTCAAAGTTAAATAATAGGTTGGATGGGTGGATTATTCAGTTAAATAAAATGGGAATTTCGATTTTTTTGGACTCCAAGTCGCACGTTGGTTTTCCATCGACGGACTATATTGCATTTTAGAAATTATATTTTCAATTTCATTGTATGAGCATTCATCAGGTTTAGTGGCATCTTGATTCTCGAAACGATAAGAACGCAATTTTCCAACTTTTTTCATTACATTATTCATATACATATCTTTTTCTTTTGCAGATGAAAGGTGAAAACGTTGTGAACTATATGCCGAACTTAATTCACATGTCAATCTGGTCAAATCTTGAATGAGAAGTTGTTCAGGAGGATGCCAATCCTTTATTAAGATATAGAAAAGTTTATTAATAAATTAATAATAAAGTTAATGAAAAGTAAGTTTAATCGTAAAAATCATCTTTTTTACCTGATCTGTCATTCGATTTTTGTCCAATCGATCAATAACACCACTCAATTTTGCTACCTCAAAATCTCTCACTTGTCGGGGACTAAGTTCTACACGTTGATTTACCAAACTTTTTGAGGCGGATTTTTGTATTTGATCCACCAAGCAATTTAAAGTTTGATACTTCATTACTGATGTTGATTCGGCACGTTGTTCTTCAAAACGTCCCCGAGATAATTTTTGTATAGCAGATGATAAGGTAGCAGCTGTTAATTCTTTCTTTTGACGTGCATTTAACTCTACACGTTGATTATTAAGTTGTGGAGCTACA